ATACCATAGAACAGAATCAGGGAGCCTTCAGTGTGGTAGCGGAAGCTTAAAAATGCGTCTTTAAGTGCTGGAGGTCAAGCCATTAGGTGGAACAGTAACAATAGTGTAAAGAAAGTCTCTCTCTCTCTTTCTGGCTTACAGAAACATTAGACAGGTGTGGGGGAGACAGCTAGGTAGATAGAGTTAGTTTACCTGTGGCAGGAATGTCAGTATAGTGGGTATGAGAGATGTCACCGTTGTGGATGACCGGCCAGTGACTGGCTCGGAGCAGACATTCACTGCACAGCCGTGATATATTCTGTGGAGGGAGGCTGGTCTGACTCACACCTTACTTTAATGTACTCGTAACTCACTTTGATACACTCACACCTGACTTTAACTGATACACTCATGACTCACTTTGATACACTCACAACTAACTGACACTCACAACTCACTTTGATACACTCACACCTGACTGATACACTCATGACTCACTTTGATACACTCACACCTGACTTTAACTGATACACTCACACCTGACTAACTGATACACTCACACCTGACTAACTGATACACTCATGACTCACTTTGATACACTCACAACTAACTGACACACTCACAACTCACTTTGATACACTCACATCTGACTTTAACTGATACACTCACAACTCACTTTAACTGATACACTCACAACTCACTTTAACTGATACACTCACACCTGACTTCAACTGATACACTCACAACTCACTTTAACTGATACACTCACAACTCACTTTAACTGATACACTCACAACTCACTTTAACTGATACACTCACAACTCACTTTAACTGATACACTCACAACCCACTTTAACTGATACACTCACACCCTCTCTCTCTCTCTCTCTCTCTCTCTCTCTCTCACATCTTCAACATAGGATTAACTTTCTTTCTCTGCTACACTCACAGGTTTAACACACTCACTTTACTCATTCTAAATCTTTAAAAAAAATCAATTATATTGTTTTATGAGATGGATAAAACACTAGTCCACTAACACCAGGTACCTATTTACTGCTAGGTGCACCACCAGAGCACTAGGTGTTAGCAGACTTGATCATAGTCTTGCCCAGCCTGGGATCGAACCCGGCTTCGACTCCCAGGCTGAGAGTTGCAGACAATCTCGATATATATATATATATATATATATATATATATATATATATATATATATATATATATATTATATATATATATATTATTATTATTATCACACTGGCCGATTCCACCAAGGCAGGGTGGCCCGAAAAAGAAAAACTTTCACCATCATTCACTCCATCACTGTCTTGCAGAAGGGTGCTTTACCTACAGTTTTTAAACTGCAACATTAACACCCCTCCTTCAGAGTGCAGGCACTGTACTTCCCATCTCCAGGACTCAAGTCCGGCCTGCCGGTTTCCCTGAATCCCTTCATAATGTACTTTGCTCACACTCCAACAGCACGTCAAGTATTAAAAACCATTTGTCTCCATTCACTCCTATCAAACACGCTCACGCATGCCTGCTGGAAGTCCAAGCCCCTCGCACACAAAACCTCCTTTACCCCCTCCCTCCAACCTTTCCTAGGCCGACCCCTACCCCGCCTTCCTTCCACTACAGACTGATACACTCTTGAAGTCATTCTGTTTCGCTCCATTCTCTCTACATGTCCGAACCACCTCAACAACCCTTCCTCAGCCCTCTGGACAACTGTTTTGGTAATCCCGCACCTCCTCCTAACTTCCAAACTACGAATTCTCTGCATTATATTCACACCACACATTGCCCTCAGACATGACATCTCCACTGCCTCCAGCCTTCTCCTCGCTGCAACATTCATCACCCATGGTTCACACCCATATAAGAGTGTTGGTAAAACTATACTCTCATACATTCCCCTCTTTGCCTCCAAGGACAAAGTTCTTTGTCTCCACAGACTCCTAAGTGCACCACTCACTCTTTTCCCCTCATCAATTCTATGATTCACCTCATCTTTCATAGACCCATCCGCTGACACGTCCACTCCCAAATATCTGAATACATTCACCTCCTCCATACTCTCTCCTTCCAATCTGATATCCAATCTTTCATCACCTAATCTTTTTGTCATCCTCATAACCTTACTCTTTCCTGTATTCACATTTAATTTTCTTCTTTTGCACACCCTACCAAATTCATCCACCAATCTCTTCAACTTCTCTTCAGAATCTCCCAAGAGCACAGTGTCATCAGCAAAGAGCAACTGTGACAACTCCGACTTTATGTGTGATTCTTTATCTTTTAACTCCACGCCTCTTGCCAAGACCCTCGCATTTACTTCTCTTACAACCCCATCTATAAATATATTAAACAACCATGGTGACATCACACATCCTTGTCTAAGGCCTACTTTTACTGGGAAATAATTTCCCTCTTTCCTACATACTCTAACTTGAGCCTCACTATCCTCGTAAAAACTCTTCACTGCTTTCAGTAACCTACCTCCTACACCATACACCTGCAACATCTGCCACATTGCCCCCCTATCCACCCTGTCATACGCCTTTTCCAATCCATAAATGCCACAAAGACCTCTTTAGCCTTATATAAATACTGTTCACTTATATGTTTCACTGTAAACACCTGGTCCACACCCCCTACCTTTCCTAAAGCCTCCTTGTTCATCTGCTATCCTATTCTCCGTCTTACTCTTAATTCTTTCAATAATAACTCTACCATACACTTTACCAGGTATACTCAACAGACTTATCCCCCTATAATTTTTGCACTCTCTTTTGTCCCCTTTGCCTTTATACAAAGGAACTATGCATGATCTTTGCCAATCCCTAGGTACCTTACCCTCTTCCATACATTTATTAAATAATTGCACCAACCACTCCAAAACTATATCCCCACCTGCTTTTAACATTTCTATCTTATCCCATCAATCCCGGCTGCCTTACCCCCTTTCATTTTACCTACTGCCTCACGAACTTCCCCCACACTCACAACTGGCTCTTCCTCACTCCTACAAGATGTTATTCCTCCTTGCCCTATACACGAAATCACAGCTTCCCTATCTTCATCAACATTTAACAATTCCTCAAAATATTCCCTCCATCTTCCCAATACCTCTAACTCTCCATTTAATAACTCTCCTCTCCTATTTTTAACTGACAAATCCATTTGTTCTCTAGGTTTCCTTAACTTGTTAATCTCACTCCAAAACTTTTCTTATTTTCAACAAAATTTGTTGATAACATCTCACCCACTCTCTCATTTGCTCTCTTTTTACATTGCTTCACCACTCTCTTAACCTCTCTTTTTCTCCATATACTCTTCCCTCCTTGCATCACTTCTACTTTGTAAAAACTTCTCATATGCTAACTTTTTCTCCCTTACTACTCTCTTTACATTATCATTCCACCAATCGCTCCTCTCCCTCCTGCACCCACCTTCCTGTAACCACAAACTTCTGCTGAACACTCTAACACTACATGTTTAAACCTACCCCATACCTCTTCGACCCCATTGCCTATGCTCTCATTAGCCCATCTATCCTCCAATAGCTGTTTATATCTTACCCTAACTGCCTCCTCTTTTAGTTTATAAACCTTCACCTCTCTCTTCCCTGATGCTTCTATTCTCCTTGTATCCCATCTACCTTTTACTCTCAGTGTAGCTACAACTAGAAAGTGATCTGATATATCTGTGGCCCCTCTATAAACATGTACATCCTGAAGTCTACTCAACAGTCTTTTATCTACCAATACATAATCCAACAAACTACTGTCATTTCGTCCTACATCATATCTTGTATACTTATTTATCCTCTTTTTCTTAAAATATGTATTACCTATAACTAAGCCCCTTTCTATACAAAGTTCAATCAAAGGGCTCCCATTATCATTTACACCTGGCACCCCAAACTTACCTACCACACCCTCTCTAAAAGTTTCTCCTACTTTAGCATTCAGGTCCCCTACCACAATTACTCTCTCACTTGGTTCAAAGGCTCCTATACATTCACTTAACATCTCCCAAAATCTCTCTCTCTCCTCTACATTCCTCTCTTCTCCAGGTGCATACACGCTTATTATGACCCACTTTTCGCATCCAACCTTTACTTTAATCCACATAATTCTTGAATTTACACATTCATATTCTCTTTTCTCCTTCCATAACTGATCATTCAACATTACTGCTACCCCTTCCTTTGCTCTAACTCTCTCAGATACTCCAGATTTAATTCCATTTATTTCCCCCCACCGAAACTCCCCTACCCCCTTCAGCTTTGTTTCGCTTAGGGCCAGGACATCCAACTTCTTTTCATTCATAACATCAGCAATCATCTGTTTCTTGTCATCCGCACTACATCCACGCACATTTAAGCATCCCAGTTTTATAAGTTTTTCTTCTTCTCTTTTTTAGTAAATGTCTACAGGAGAAGGGGTTACTAGCCCATTGCTCCCGGCATTTTAGTCGCCTCATACGACACGCATGGCTTACGGAGGAAAGATTCTTTTCCACTTCCCATGGACAATAGAAGAAATAAAGAAGAACAAGAGCTATTTAGAAAAAGGAGAAAAAACCTAGATGTATGTATATATATATGCATGTGCGTGTCTGTGAAGTGTGACCAAAGTGTAAGTAGGAGTAGCAAGATATCCCTGTTATCTAGCGTGTTTATGAGACAGAAAAAGAAACCAGCAATCCTACCATCATGCAAAACAGTTACAGGTTTCTGTTTCACAGTCATCTGGCAGGACGGTAGTACTTCCCTGGGTGGTTGCTGTCTATATATATATATATTATATATATATATATATATATATATATATATATATATATATATATATATTATATATATATATATATATACGTGACTAATAAAGCTGTAAATAAATAAAATATTCCCTAACGCACTTGTAAAAGACTAAATTACCTCTCATACCCTAGGCATTGACTGGCCCCGTACATATTTAGCGCTCCCTCACAAAGATAACGAGTCAAGAATATACCTTGATGACGGGCGGACACTTGTCACTCCTGGGAGGCTTCACTACCACGTTAGTCTTGTTAGTTAGCATCTCCTTGCTAATGTTTTCGTTGACGTTATTGGAAGTTACGTCTACGTTGGTTGTGTCCTCCTTGACGCACTCCGTTAGTACGTCAGGGTACATCTTGTGCATGACGTCTACGATCATGTACGATACCTGTCATGAACGATAGTCATTAGCGTCTCGCCAACAGAATAATCAGGAACTGTTTTTGTTTTTTGGACTGTTTAAGTTATGTGATTTCATGTTAAATGTAATCAGTGCCTAGTTAATACTAGCATCACCCAGGATGCTACCCACAACAGTCTAGTAACACCCAGGTACCTACTTACTGCTAGGTGAACAGCGACAGCAGGCGTAAGGTGACTAACACTCAGTTACCTACATACCTGTAGCCAAAGGGCCTCACAGTACCTGGAGCCCAGGGGACCCACAGTACCTGTAGCCCAGGGGCCCCACAGTACCTGTAGCCCAAGTGCCTCACAGTACCTGTAGCCCAGGGGCCCCTCACAGTATCTATAGCCCAGGGTCCTCACAGTACCTGTAGCCCAGGGGCCTCAGTATCTGTAGCCCAGGGGTCCTGACAGTACCTGTAGCCCAGGGCCCCTGACAGTACCTGTAGCCCAGGGGTCCTGACAGTACCTGTAGCCCAGGGCCCCTGACAGTACCTGTAGCCCAGGGGACTACAGAATCTTAACCCGGCTCTGATCCACTCCTCCAATCAACCCACTCTCTTCAACTCTCCATCCGTGTTAAAACTCACTTCCAGATGGCGGTCGAGAAAGTCATTAGTATCGAAGTCATCATCGTCATCACCAAAGGGATTGAGGAGTGACTCTGCCACCTTGAGCCAGCCCATGTAGAATATAAACTGTAGGAAGGTGAAGATGGGAACGTAGAAGTCAATGGTGTGGTTGTCGTAGCCCTGAGACGGATCCAGGAACTGGCGACCCAGGATTGAAAAGCCGAAATAGGAATATGTAGCCATTGTCACCACCTGAAACATGACGTAGTGGTCATCAGCTTTAATTAGAGGAAGAGAGGAGTAGACCTAGACTAGATATACACCCTCAGGTGTATGTCTTTCAGGGTATATATGCTGCTAGTTTACATTATTCGCTACTTTTGGGTATTACAGTATTCTTGACTAGTGATGTACATGTGACATACAGAATTGATGACTCGTGTAATAAATATGTTTTAAATCTAGCAAAGCAGCCATCTACCTAGAGGGAGCTTGTTAGAGGGCTAGAGAGCCTTCTGCTTTATTATCTCTACCTCATACACCTTGATAGTAGTGGATAGTTCTCATCAGACAGCCTGGGAGGGGACTATCAAGTCTGTACACACCGAGGCGTCTGCCTTTCCTATTTTCTGTCATCTGTTGTTACCCATCCGTAGCTACGGGAGCAGAACTATGCTACTTGTGTAAGGAGAGGAGGAGTTTGAGGTAATCAGTCCCTCAGGCTGGAGTCGAGGTGTTCAGTCCATCAGTCTTGTAGAAAGTACAGCATAGGGCCGTAGACGTGGCTTTTATACTGTAGTCAGGTGAGGCGAAGGAGGAGAAGATGGAATCATAGTGGTACCATCCACTAGTCGAAGTAGGTCTTCGACTACTTCGACTAGTATATAAACCACTGCAATATATAAGCCACTTCTACGGCCCTATGCTGTACTTTCTACAAGATTGATGGACTGAACACATATGCTACTTGTGTTCCGTAGCCACGGGAGCAGAACTATGTTACTTGTGTTCCGTAGCCACGGGAGCAGAACTATGTTACTTGTGTTCCGTTTTCAATAATATTTTCTTTATATAACTGGTTTAAAAATTTGCAATGGGTGTAGCAGGTCCTCCCTTGTACTCTCACACTCACCGTCACTCATTCGTCTAGTCTTTTCAGAAGTGCACTGACATCACACTTCACTGTAACATCCTCACCCATCCTTCAGAGTACACGCACTATACCTCCCACTTCCAGTTTCCATGAATCCCTAAGGATAAGAGCTTGACCTCACCTGTGTGTAGACCAACGGTACACTCATAGTGTGGTACTCCTGTAACTTTCCACAGTTATAGCGTAGCTTGGTTACTTCCCTAATGATAGAGTTGAGAGCGTAGTCATCTGGACAGCGGCCTTCCTTCCTGGCTTGTGTTGCCACCAGTGACGCCCACACCAGTGGCATCCAGATCTTGTGGTGAGACGTCTGTTTATCCATCAACTCAAAGATAATCTTCTCATTGGCTGTCATATAACCTGCAAGTATCATTAACTAACAAGTTAATTCATTAAAGAATCAAGGGACAAAGATTATATTCCTGTGCAAAGGTTAAAATTTGTAATTTCAATTTTGGTTTGCTAAGTACAAAGTCACTACCATGCCGGGGCAGACCCGAAATGCCCCGGAAGTTGAAGACCCAGATAAGTCAAAGGGATCTTAGAAAGTATTTTTTCAGATATAGAGCTGTTAGGAAGTGGAATGGTTTGGAAAGTGACGTAGTGGAGGCAGGAACCATGCATAGTTTTAAGACGAGGTATGATAAAGTTCATGGAGCAAGGATAGAGAGGACCTAGTAGCGATCAGTGAAGAGGCGAGGCCAGGAGCTGAGTCTCGACCCCTGCAACCACAAATAGGTGAGTACACACACACACACACACACACACACACACACACACACACACACACACAAGAAGAGATATGATAAAGCCCGTGGAGCAGGAAAAGAATGGACCTAGTAATGACCAGCGAAGAGGGGCCAGGAGCTGAGTCTCGACCCCTGCAACCACATATAGTTGAGTAAAACAACACACACACACACACACACACACACACACACACACACACACACACACACACACACACACACACACACACACACACACACACACACACACACACTAAAACATCATGGGCCATCAAAAAGTCACGACAGATAAACAGATGGTGGAGGCTAAGAAACACTGACATGACTGTAACAGTGAAAGCCGTCATCAGGAGCACATTTCGCTCGTTCCATAGTTTCCTTCAAGCGAAACATCGTTGTAATAAAGACCTAAACTGTGTTTACACCTGATGATGAAAGATAATTACAGGTCAATTAAAGATAACTTTAGACTAATTAATGATAAATTTAGATTAATTAAAGATAACTATAGACTAAAGATAGCGTTAGACTAATTAAAGATAACTTTAAATTAATTAAAGATAACTTTTGACGAATTAAAGATAACTATAAACTAATTAAAGATAATTTTAGACTAATTAAAGACTAATAAATTTAGACTAATTTCTGAGCCGTTCAATACAACTAGAAGCAGAGGCAATTAAAGATAAATTAAAGTAATTAAGGTAATTAGAGACACTCAGAGGCCATTTAGAACACTTAGAGATAACTACACTATACTTAGAAGTAATTAAAGAGTAGTCGACTATAATTTTAGGCCATTTAAAGGTCATTAGAACACTTAGATGATTATATTATCCTCAGACGTAATTATACAGTAACTGGAGGTAATTAGAGGGAGGTTAATTATAGGTAATCAAGAGCTGACCTCCATCAATGTAGTTCTGGTAAGTGGAGAATCTTCTGGCGACTCTGGGAGAGATTCTGGCGAAGGCTAAAGCGAACGCCAAGTTGATGTACCTGGCGAAGGATCGTCTCAGCTGGCGACCACGATCATCCTGTAAGACGTGTGGAGTGTGGTTCAGTGAACCCCGAGTGCTGTGTCTCACCCTGAGTGCTGTGTCTCACCCTGAGTGCTGTGTCTCACCCTGAGTGCTGTGTCTCACCCTGAGTGCTGTGTCTCACCCTGAGTGCTGTGTCTCACCCTGAGTGCTGTGTCTCACCCTGAGTGCTGTGTCAACCCTGAGTGCTGTGTCTCACCCTGAGTGCTGTGTCAACCCTGAGTGCTGTGTCAACCCTGAGTGCTGTGTCGACCCTGAGTGTTGTGTCTCACCCTGAGTGCTGTGTCTCACCCTGAGTGCTGTGTCTCACCCTGAGTGCTGTGTCTCACCCTGAGTGCTGTGTCTCACCCTGAGTGCTGTGTCTCACCCTGAGTGCTGTGTCTCACCCTGAGTGCTGTGTCTCACCCTGAGTGCTGTGTCTCACCCTGAGTGCTGTGTCAACCCTGAGTGTTGTGTCTCACCCTGAGTGCTGTGTCAACCTTGAGTGTTGTGTCTCACCCTGAGTGCTGTGTCAACCCTGAGTGTTGTGTCAACCCTGAGTGCTGTGTCAACCTTGAGTGCTGTGTCAACCCTGAGTGTTGTGTCAACCCTGAGTGCTGTGTCTCACCCTGAGTGCTGTGTCTCACCCTGAGTGCTGTGTCTCACCCTGAGTGCTGTGTCTCACCCTGAGTGCTGTGTCTCACCCTGAGTGTTGTGTCTCACCCTGAGTGCTGTGTCTCACCCTGAGTGCTGTGTCAACCCTGAGTGCTGTGTCTCACCCTGAGTGCTGTGTCAACCCTGAGTGCTGTGTCTCACCCTGAGTGTTGTGTCAACCCTGAGTGCTGTGTCAACCCTGAGTGCTGTGTCAACCCTGAGTGTTGTGTCTCACCTGAGTGTTGTGTCAACCCTGAGTGCTGTGTCAACCCTGAGTGCTGTGTCAACCCTGAGTGCTGTGTCAACCCTGAGTGCTGTGTCTCACCCTGAGTGCTGTGTCAACCCTGAGTGCTGTGTCAACCCTGAGTGCTGTGTCTCACCCTGAGTGCTGTGTCTCACCCTGAGTGTTGTGTCTCACCCTGAGTGCTGTGTCTCACCCTGAGTGCTGTGTCTCACCCTGAGTGCTGTGTCAACCCTGAGTGCTGTGTCTCACCCTGAGTGCTGTGTCAACCCTGAGTGCTGTGTCAACCCTGAGTGTTGTGTCTCACCTGAGTGCTGTGTCAACCCTGAGTGTTGTGTCAACCTTGAGTGTTGTGTCAACCCTGAGTGTTGTGTCTCACCCTGAGTGCTGTGTCAACCCTGAGTGTTGTGTCAACCTTGAGTGTTGTGTCAACCCTGAGTGCTGTGTCAACCCTGAGTGCTGTGTCTCACCCTGAGTGTTGTGTCAACCCTGAGTGCTGTGTCAACCCTGAGTGCTGTGTCTCACCCTGAGTGTTGTGTCAACCCTGAGTGTTGTGTCTCACCCTGAGTGCTGTGTCTCACCCTGAGTGCTGTGTCTCACCCTGAGTGCTGTGTCAACCTGAGTGCTGTGTCTCACCCTGAGTGCTGTGTCTCACCCTGAGTGTTGTGTCTCACCCTGAGTGCTGTGTCTCACCCTGAGTGCTGTGTCTCACCCTGAGTGCTGTGTCAACCCTGAGTGCTGTGTCTCACCCTGAGTGCTGTGTCTCACCCTGAGTGCTGTGTCAACCCTGAGTGCTGTGTCTCACCCTGAGTGCTGTGTCTCACCCTGAGTGCTGTGTCTCACCCTGAGTGCTGTGTCAACCCTGAGTGCTGTGTCTCACCCTGAGTGCTGTGTCTCACCCTGAGTGCTGTGTCAACCCTGAGTGCTGTGTCTCACCCTGAGTGTTGTGTCTCACCCTGAGTGCTGTGTCTCACCCTGAGTGCTGTGTCTCACCCTGAGTGCTGTGTCAACCCTGGGTGCTGTGTCTCACCCTGAGTGTTGTGTCTCACCCTGAGTGCTGTGTCTCACCCTGAGTGTTGTGTCAACCCTGAGTGCTGTGTCAACCCTGAGTGCTGTGTCTCACCCTGAGTGTTGTGTCTCACCCTGAGTGCTGTGTCTCACCCTGAGTGCTGTGTCTCACCCTGAGTGCTGTGTCTCACCCTGAGTGCTGTGTCTCACCCTGAGTGCTGTGTCTCACCCTGAGTGCTGTGTCTCACCCTGAGTGCTGTGTCTCACCCTGAGTGCTGTGTCTCACCCTGAGTGTTGTGTCTCACCCTGAGTGCTGTGTCAACCCTGAGTGCTGTGTCAACCCTGGGTGCTGTGTCAACCCTGAGTGCTGTGTCAACCCTGGGTGCTGTGTCAACCCTGAGTGCTGTGTCAACCCTGAGTGCTGTGTCAACCCTGAGTGCTGTGTCAACCCTGAGTGTTGTGTCAACCCTGAGTGCTGTGTCAACCCTGAGTGTTGTGTCAACCCTGAGTGCTGTGTCAACCCTGGGTGCTGTGTCAACCCTGGGTGCTGTGTCAACCCTGAGTGCTGTGTCAACCCTAAGTGCTGTTTTAACTCTGGTACTAAGTACCGTGTGAGCCCTGGTTCTTAGTACTGTGATCCCTGGCTGAGTAATGTGAACCCTGGCTGAGTATTGTGAACCCTGGCTGAGTATTGTGAACCCTGGCTGAGTACTGTGAACCCTGGCTGAGTATTGTGAACCCTGGCTGAGTACTGTGAACCCTGGCTGAGTACTGTGAACCCTGGCTGAGTACTGTGAACCCTGGCTGAGTACTGTGAACCCTGGCTGAGTACTGTGAACCCTGGCTGAGTACTGTGAACCCTGGCTGAGTACTGTGAACCCTGGCTGAGTACTGTGAACCCTGGCTGAGTACTGTGAACCCTGGCTGAGTACTGTGAACCCTGGCTGAGTACTGTGAACCCTGGCTGAGTACTGTGAACCCTTGCTGAGTACTGTGAACCCTGGCTGAGTACTGTGAACCCTGGCTGAGTACTGTGAACCTCAGGTGTTCTCTTATTTATTAAGCTGTCAGTATTTTTAATTAATGATAATTACCTGACCCCTGACACACCTGACCCCTGACACACCTGACCCCTGACACACCTGACCCCTGACACACCTGACCCCTGACACACCTGACCCCTGACACACCTGACCCCCTGACACACCTGACCCCTGACACACCTGACCCCTGACACACCTGACCCTGACACACCTGACCCCTGACACACCTGACCCCTGACACACCTGACCCCTGACACACCTGACCCCTGACACACCTGACCCCTGACACACCTGACCCCTGACACACCTGACCCCTGACACACCTGACCCCTGACACACCTGACCCCTGACAAATTCACCTGACCCCTGAGACACTCACCTGACCCCTCACACACTCACCTGACCCCTGACACACACACCTGACCCCTGACACACCCACTTGGCCACTGACACACTCGCCTGACCACTGACACACTCACCTGACCACTGACACAGTCACCTGACCTCTGAGTGACGGTGAACGTTACTCAGGGCTCAGGGCCCTGGCACACACACCTTGCTCCACACACACTCAGCTGACCCCTGACACACACACCTGGCCCCTGACACACACACCTTGCTCCTCACACACTCACCTGACCCCTGACACACACACCTGGCACCTGACACACTCACCTGACCCTTGACGCACTCACCTGACCACTGACACACTCACCTGACCCTCACACACTCGCCTGACCACAGACACACTCGCCTGACCACTGACACACTCACGTGGCCCTCACACACTCACCTGGCCCCTGATATAAGCAGCCACGAAGATACAGACAGTGTCAGGCCAGGGGATGAGCATGTACTGGGCCCACCACCGCTGTACAACGATAGTCACGTAAAATCCCAAAACGAAAGAGATTGGAAAAACGTTTCTGAAGTATTCACAAGAGATGGCCACTTTCTCAAACACCCTGAAACAAGAACCACAGGTAAATAACTGGTAAACAGGTCAATATTAGTGTAAACCAGGGAGAGGACCTAATACTTAGAGTTCTTATGTTACTGGTGAGGACCTGAGTTAATGGAGGGACTCAGTGAAACTGGTTAGCTGGACTTGAGTCCTGGAGGTGGGAAGTACAGAGTCTGCACTCTGAAGGATGAGTGAGGATGTTACAGTTCTGGAGGTGGGAAGTACAGTACCTGCACTCTGAAGGATGAGTGAGGATGTTACAGTTCTGGAGGTGGGAAGTACAGTACCTGTACTCTGAAGGATGGGTGAGGATGTTACAGTTCTGGAGGTGGGAAGTACAGTACCTGCACTCTGAAGGATGAGTGAGGATGTTACAGTTCTGGAGGTGGGAAGTACAGTACCTGCACTCTGAAGGATGAGTGAGGATGTTCCGGGTGTGAGGCCCCCTTGGGGAAATTGTACACCTTGACCCGGAATAATATTAAAAAGGTTGGTGAAAACTGGAGTTGAAAATTGAAAATTAAAGGGTTATTTTCCCGGGGGTAAATTTTCCAGGTAGGGGGGTTTAAAAAGGTGTTGGGAAAAGGGGTAAAAAAATTTTGTAAAAATTAAAAGGCCAACCCAGGCATGTTTCCCCGTGGAGGTTTCCCAGGTATGTAAAGGGGGTGAAGGAATAAATTAGGGGTAAAAAAGGTTTTTGGCCAGGAAAAAGGAAGGTGGGCCAGGGGGAGGTTCGGGCCCCCCGTGTACCAAGGTGTAGGGAAAACCCCAAAGGAGTTGGAAAAAAAATTTTTTAAAGGTTTAAAAGGAGGGGCCCCTTAAAAAGGTTCCCCGGTTGAAAAAGGTCTAAGGGGTTAAACAGGTAAGTTTTAAATGGGAGGTTAATTAGTTTTTGGTTACGGTGGGCCGGAAAATGGAGGGACCGGGTTAAAAGGGGGTTTAAGGGTTATTTTTGTTGGAAAGGTGGGAGGTTTTAAAGGTGGGGTTTTAAGCTTGGGTTTGTTACTGGTTGGTGGGGGTTGGTTTTCTGTTTTTAAGCAAGGTGTAAAGGTCTGGGTTTTTTACGGGTTCCCAGGGGAATTTAAAAACCCCCAAGGTATTTGGGTTTGCATTTTGGGGAGGGGGAATAAAATTTATGACCAAGGTGGGAGGGTTCGGGTTTGGCGGTGGGGAAAGGTTACAGGGTTAGTGGGGAGGTTTTTTTGGAGGTAAAGGGAAAGTTAGCATTGGAGGTAAAAGGTGGGGTTTTACGGGTTTGGGGTTGGTTAAAGGGAGTGAAAATTAGGGGGTGAGGTTTTTTCCCCCTTTGGGTATTTAAACAGGTGTGAGGAAAAACCCCAATTGGGTGTTTTGGTTAAAAAGGAGGGAGGAAAGGGGGCTTGAACCCCTGTTTTGGTTAAAAGGAAAATTTTGGCAGGTGTGGGGGCCTAATTATTACAGCGGTGAAAACCCCTGGTAAGGGGAAGAAAAACCCCCCTTATGGTACATGTTAGGGTGAACATTTTAATTTGTAGAGGTTGAGGTAAAAGGGTTATTTTGTTAAAGAAAAGGTTGTGGGGAAAATTGTAGAAGTGTTTGGTTATTGTAGTGTGCGGGTTTTTGGGGAAAATTGGTAAAAGAAATTTTGTGGGGGTTTTTAATGGGTTAAGTTACATGGTGGGGGGGGAAACTATTTGTAGGGGTTGTGGGGGAAAAAAAGGGTTGTGTTGTGGTGTAATTAAAGGTAGTGAAAAGGAGGTTTTTTGAGGCAAATAGTTTGAGGTTGAGGAAAAGGTAGTGTTAGTGTGGGGTTAAAGGGTATGTTGCCGGGTTTTGTGTTTTTTTTAAATGGTGGTGTAAATGTTTTGGGGTTTTAAGGTAGTGAAAGTGGTGAGAGTTATATGGGTGTAGGGGTTTGAGGAAATAGGGTGTGGGGTAATGGGGGTCGGGGGGGTTTGTTTTTTTGTTAGATTTGGGTATTTTATCGGTTGTGGAGTGGGTTGTGGGGGTTTAAGGGAGTGTTGGGGTGAAATGGGTTTAGGGTTGGGTTGAAGGGTAAGGGTTTTTTTGTGGTAAATTGTAGTGTTTTGGTGTGTGGGGAATTGGCGGAAAAAGGGTTGGGTGTTTGGGGGGGGTTTGGGGGTGGGGGGGTTTTTGGGGTGGGTTTGGGGGGGAGGGGTAACGGGAAAAAAGAAATTTGTTTGTCCCGGGTTAGGTGGTAATATTTGTAGGGGTTTTTAGGGGAAAGGGGTAAGTGTACCCATTTTGTGGGGGTTATGGGTTTGTAGGTGTTGGTAAAATGGTAGTCGTAGAATGTTGGGGAAAAAAGGGTTTTTGGGTAGAAGGGGGGTTGGTTTCATTTTTTCATTTTTTATTTTGTTTTCCAAGGTGTGAGGGGTTTTTTACTTTTTTTGTTTTAAATTGTGTTTTAAGGGTTTTTTTTTTTTTTTAAATTTTAGGGTTTGGGGGGGAGTGGGGGGGAAAAGTGGGCAGGGGGGGAGGGGATGGGGGTGGGGTGTTGGTGGTTTTGTGGGTTTGGGGGTTACGGTGGGTTGGGGTGGGAAAGGGAGGTCATGTGGGGGGTGGTGTGGGGTTTGGGGGCGGGGTGTGGGGTGGCGGGGGGGGGGGGGTGTCGGGTGGGTTGGTTTGTTGCGGTGGGGTTCGGGGGGTGGGGTGGCCGGGGAAAGGTGGTGGGGTTGGGTAAAGGGGGCGGCGGTTGGGGGGGGGGGGGGGTTTGTAAGTGGGGATGGGGTGACGGGGTGTGGGGGTGTTGGGGTAAAGGGTTTTGGTGTGGGGTGGGTTTTGGGGTGGGGTTTTGGGGGTGGGCGGTTTGGGGTGGGGTTGGTGATTTTGGGGGGTGTGGGCGGGGGGGGGGGGTGGGGTGTTAGGGGTGGGGTTTTTTGGGGGTTGGGGGGTGGGAAAAAAAGGGGTGGGTTGGGGGGGTTTTGGGGGTGTAGGGGTGGGTTTGGGGGGGGGTGGGGGGTTTGGTGGGGTGGGGGTGGGTGGGGGGGTGGGGGGTGGGGGTGTGGGGGGGGTGGGGTTGGGGAAAAGGGGTAGGGTGGGGTCTAGGGTGGGGTGGGGGCGGTGGGGGGTGGGTTTTGGTGTTGGGTTTTGGGGCAGGGGGGGGGGGGTGGGTTTTCGCGGTGGGGGTTAAGGGGGGGGGGGCCCGGGAAGGGGGGGCTGGGGTTGGGGGGGTTGGGGGTTTGGTGGGCGGGGGGGGGCAGGGGGGGGGGGGGCGGGGGTTGGTTTAATGGAGCTGGGGGGCGGGGGGGGGTGGGCGGGGGCGGTGGGGGCCCGGTTTGTTTGGGGGGGTTTGGGTGGGGCCCCGGGGGGGGGGCGGGGGTTGGTTTTGGGGGGGGTTTGGCGGTGGGGGGGGTTCGGTTGGTGGGGAGTGGGGGGGTGGTGGGGGAATGGGGGTTTTGGTGGGGGGGTGGGGGGGGGGGTGGGGGGGGGTTTTTGGGTGGTGGGTGGGGCGGGGGTTTTGGGGTGGGGGTGGGGGGGGGGTTGTGGTTTGGGGCGGGGGGGACGGAAGGGTGGGGGGGAAAAAGGGAGGGGGGGTGGTTTTGGTGGTGTGCGGTGTTTGGGGTTTGGGGTGGGGGTGTGGGGGTTTTAAGGGGTGTGAGGTGTGTGGGGGGGCCCCCCGGGTTCTGTTTCCCGGTGTGGGGTTTTAATTGTGGGGGCTTAGGTTTTTTTTTTTTAAAAAAGTTTTTAAAGGAAAAGGTATTTGGTGCGGTTTGGGGCCTTTGGGTTGTCGGGTGGGTGGGGTGGGGGTTTGGTCGGTTTGGGGTTGGGTCGGTTTTGTGGGGTGGGGGTTTTGGTGGGTGGGGTTGGTGGGCGGGGGGGGGCCCGGGCGGGGCCCCGGGGGCCGTGGGGTTAGGTTTGGTAGGGGGGTGGGTTGGTTTGGGGGCGGTGGGGAAAAAGGGGGGGGAATTCGGGGGGGGGGGTTAAACGGTGGGGGAAGGGGTGGGAAAAAGGGGGTTTGGGTGGGGAAAGGGATTAGGCGTGGGGGTTTGGGGGGGTTTTTCCCCCCCCCCCCCCCCCCTGGGGTGGGGAATGGTGTTTTTGGGGGTGGGGTTTGGGTTTTGGGGCGGCGGGTTTAAGGGGGGTTTTAGGGGGGGGTAAAGGGTTGGGGTGGGTTAAAGGGTGTAGCGGGGGGGGGTTAGGGTGGGGTGGGGGCCCCGGATATGGGTGTGGGTTTGGGGTGAGGGTGGGGGTTTTGGGGAGATGGGGGTTTGGGAGGACCCGGTTTAAAGGGTGTGACGGTTGGGGGGGTGAAGGGGGGGTAACGGGGTTTAAGGGTGGGTGGGGTTTGGTAGATTTTGGGTTCGGGTTGGTGTTGGGGGTGCCTTGATTTTGTGGGGGTGGGGGTTATTGGTGTTAAAAAGGGGGGGGCCGGTGGGGAAAATTTGGGTCCGGTTTTTTTGGTTGGGGCATTGTGTGGGTTTTGTGATTGGTTTCGTTGAGGGGTTTCTTATCATTTTAGTGTAGAAAAGGGGGTTGGGTTTTGGTTTTAGGGGTGTAGGGTTTGGATTTCACGGGGAAAAATTTTGAGGGTTGGGTTAAGGGGGACCGGGTTTTTTTACGGTTTGGGGGTTAAAAGGTTTGTATTACGGTTTTTGGATTTAAATTTAAAGCCCGTGAGGTAGGGGTTGCGGTTTGTGTGGGGTTTAAAGGGGTGGGTAGGGTTCGGTGTGTTGTGGCGGGTGGGGTTTGGTTTTCCTTTGCGATTAAACAGGTATTTTTTTTTTCAGGGTTTTTTTTTGGGTGTGAAAGGGGTTAGGTTGAAATTTTTGGGCTTATAACGGGTTTAGTTTTTAGCAGGGTGTGAGGGTCACAGGTTGTGGGGAGAAAGGTTCGGGGAGGGTTAACGGTTGTTTGGGAAGTGTAGGCCAGGTGTGAGGTTTTTAAAAGGGGTTTTCCCTTTTTGTCGGTAAAAGGTTTTGGGGGTTTAAAAGGTTTTTGGTGGATGGGGAGGTGGGTGTATGGGGGTCTGGTGAGGGGGGGTTTTTTTTAAAGGGGGGGGTATGGTGGGGGCGGTGGGGGAGGGTATGGGGGGGGGGGTGGGGTTGTTTAATTCGGTTGTTTTTTTCATTTGATTAGGTACGGTGGGGGTTTTTAAAAGGAACTCTTTTTAATGGGGTTTGGAAAAGGTGTGTGGCAGGTGTGGGTTTACAGGTCGGGGGGCGGTTGT